TAAACTTGAAAGCAAATTCTCCTGGCGTCTATAAAAAGCACAAATGCCTGACGAAAGAAAGGACAGTGGATTATCCTCGGGCTTCCCAGTCCCAGTGCTCTGTACTGGCAGGAAAGAGAGTCTTATATAGGGGTGCCCAGGGAAGGAATGTGCTGGCCAGGTTCTTTGTAGCCAGGAAAACAACTCTCAAGCTTAAAGGGACAGAGCAATGGTTTTGAAGCTGTCATCAGACACACACTGTGGTATGCAGGTAACATTGTTCCCATGATCCTTTCCTAAGGAGATTACTCTAAAGTACGCTTCAGACAACCCAGTAAACTCCAGAATTGGCTCTACAACATTCATAACAGCTGGGGGCAAACATTCTTTTTTTGTTGTTGTTTTTTAAAGATTTATTTATTTGAAAGGCAGAGTTACAGAGAGGGATCTTCTGTCTGCTGGTTCACTCCACAAATGGCCTCAACAGCCAGGGTCAGGCTGGGCTGAAAAGCCAGGAGCCAAGAGCTTCTCCCAAGTATTCCACATGGGTGCAGGGGCCAAGCGCTTGGGCCATCTTCTGCTGCTTTCCCAGGCCATAGCAGAGAGCTGGATCAGAAATAGAGTATATGGGACTGGAACTGGTGCCCATATGGGATGCCGGCACCACAGGCAGTGACTTAACCTGGTACACCCCAATGGCAGCCCCAAACATTCTTCTGTAATAATTAAGACTATGGAAAAGTACTTCAAAAAAATTTTTTGAAATCTTCATATGTGAAGAGTCCTGGAAAAGATTGTGTAAAATGAGTATTATGAGAAAACAGTGCATGGGTTTCAAAAACTTTACACACCAAAGTAACTCACCTTCTAATTCTATTTTCTACAACCTATTTGAAGCACTCCCACATGAAGATTGAAGTAAGGAGTGTACTGTGTTCTGGCTGTTGGCTTTGGCAACATGAGCACAGCACAAATATACAAATGCAGAGAATAGGAAGAATTCCTTTAAAATAGTAGCTAGTTGTCTTGGTTGTGTTAGGCATTGTTATTCTGAGACCATCACATAGGAAATAAAACTGAGTAATTATGAGATCGTTTAATTCTACTTTCCTTGTGTCCCCAATAATCCAGAGTGTGACCTGTTTGGTGAGGGAGAAAAAGATGTCACACTGAAGACCTTAGGTTGGTCTTGTGGCCTGAATTTAATGTGTCAGATTAAACTCAATGGCCTCAACTCCACGACCCACTCAGCAGTAGTGAGCATTGCTGGAATACAGATATTTCTGGGAACACCACTTCCCAGTAACCATTCCAGGGCTTCTGGGAGATTGTTGATTTGGAACGCGGAGTACACAGAATGACCTTGAAGCATCTGTGGTGCCTGAGATTAAGGAAGCTTTGCCAATAACTGTCAGCGTCATGTCAAAAAAAAAAAAAAAAAACAATAGGCCAACTTGACAAGGATCACCATGCACACTTGAGATCATTTGACCCACAAAAAATCCACCACATGGGCTTACTGACATTTTAAAAATAGTTGATCACCTGAGGAGGATGAAAATGAGCCATGTAAAAACTGATAAGCCAAGGTGCAGGTAGAAGCATTTATCTTGTGTTTTTCCATGTGAATTGTACCACCATGTAATCAAATGACAGAGGAGAGAAAATCCCTCCTTAAAAAATAACTGCATCTGATGAATGAAAAGGGAATGACAGGTTTGCAAGCTGAATGGATGAGTGAAGGTGCCTAAGCAGGGACCACTGTTGACTTGGCAACGAGAGACACCCAGAGAGTGCATGCCAGGTTGTGGGGAGATAATATGTGATTGAATAACACCATGGTGTGCACTCAGCAAAACGCAGACTCCCAGGAGCTACTGGGAGAATGGCCCAGGTCCTTCAGTTCTAAGAAGGAAAAAGGGGAACCTGTGGATTGAAAGCCTTTTTAAAAAACGATTTATTTATTTGAGAGTTCCAGAAAGAAGGGGAGAGACACAGACAGATCTTCCATCCACTGGTTCACTCCCCTGATGGCCGCATGGCTCACTTTGCCACATGCTGACACCTAGATTGAAAGATTTAAAAGACAGAGTTAAAAAATCAGCATGATCCATCCATTGGTGTGTGCTTCAGGTCTATCAAGTAAAATAACTCTATATAAATTGAGGTGACTCTCCAGGATCTTGAGTTCTGTCTTAAAGTGCTCAATTCTGGAAACATCTCTTGAATTCGAAATTTAAGACTGAAAGGTGTTACTGTTGTACTGTTTCAACATGTAAAATGATTTGTTCTTGATCATTAGCTCAGCGAGTTGTTACCTGGTAGTGTTGAATGTTTTAGGTTTACAAACAAATCCACAAAGAAGTCTTTTTCAACTAATCCTTTAAAATTAAAGGCAAACTCTATGTGTCACTCATACAATTTTTAATAACTATATGTATTACATGTTTGGATCCAGAATGATCAATAATTATTGACTTGGCATATAGCTGTAATTTACAGTTTTAGATCTGAAAGTACGTTATGATTAGCTGGACCTTGTGTGTTTTGGTAATTATTTCAAGCAGTTGTCAGTTTATTTTGTAGCCACAAGAGGGCACTGCAGAGCAGTGCAGCACTGAAATCTTTGACTCACTCGTGGCCTGTCTTTTGCTAAAATACATACTCAGAGCTTTACAAAAGAGAGAAGAAAAAAAATGAAAGGCAACTACATCGTCCCCATAGGCTTTCTCATTTACTGGAAAAATGGTCAGCTAAAATATATGTGTATTTTGTGAATATACACATATAATATGTGTATGTTATATATAATTATATAATAATTATAATAAATATACCTAAGTGCATGTCTAGGGTATCAGATCTGTGTCCATCCCAACCCTGAATCTGAAGTTCTCCTGCTGTAGTTTTTATTCTGCTGTTGGCTGTAGACACTCTCCTCAAGCACTGATCCATCCCGTACGGTGTTTGCTGGCGTTCAAGATGAAAGAGACCTGGGGCCTTTCAGCAGTCATGCTTAGAGAAGGTGTTCAGGAGACGACGCAGGAGATAGGAGCCCACAGGGAGTCCTCACCAGAGGGGTCTGCTGTAAGCTCCAGCTGCCCAGCTGCACAGGCAGTGGGTAGGTGACTGAATTCCTGACTCCTTACAGTCAGGGGAAGCCGACCGAAGCCTGCCATAGTCGTTTAACCGAATCCTGTCTTGACTCTTGCTATTGGGGCACCTGTGTCGACCGTGTGTGTGTGTGTGTGTGTGTGTAGGCATCGGTCAAGCCGATTGGGGTCCCTCACTGACTTTTCTGTTGCCAAAAGCCACGCCACGTGGCATTCCTCAGGAGGTGCCCCATGCACTCGGGGAAGTCGATCAATACCACGCGTCGTCGACGTTGGAGGTGTCTCATGGAGCATCTTTGTGACTGATTTTCTGTGCTACTGTGAAACTGTAAATAAATGACATCACCTTCATCCTGCACATGAATTCACTCTCCTGAGAGTTAGTGGTTCAGTTCCTCTGTTGAAAAAGGCAAGTGTGCGACTGACCGTCCCCTGGGGCGGGGTGGGGGTGGAGGCTGCCAGGGTGTTCAGTGCCCTTCACGAGGGACCTGCTGTGAAACGTGGCTCTGGGGCTGGCCCTGTGTAGGTGGACCCTTGTGGCTACGATTCTGCTGCTTTTCTCAGGGCGTTTGTTTACAATTTTTTGTAGGTTGAGGCTCTGGGGCTTTGCATCTCAACGTATCTAATGCTTGCTGAAAAGAAATTAGGTGGTCTGTTCTCTCTGAATACAGGGTGGTCTGTCCCCTGCTTTCATTTTTCCCTCCCTGGGTTTTGTTTGAAGCCTTGCTGTGTTTCATCCTCTGGCCTCACTTAGGGGCCCAGGCAGGACAGCACTGATACAGGTAGCTTGCACCAAGTTGATTTGGCCTGTGTGTGTGGTTCCAACTTCATCTTTAACCCACTATTGCCTTTTCTATAAAAATCTTTACCATCCTTCAAGGCCAATGCAATGTCCACCTCTTCAGTGAAGTCATTGTTAACTATTCCAGATGTCCTGTTTCCCCTCACCCCAAGTACAACAGCCTCTGTCACCTCTTCTGCCGCATAGATGGTTCTGCATTTCCCCATCGACTCTACGACACTTTTCACTCATGATCTCGTGTCCTAACCCTGCCTGCTGATCTGGCCCACTCAAGTAAGAAACCAAGAATGGGGTCTATCTCTGGGGTCCACAACATCATGCTGTGTCTCCAGCAAATCTAATCTGGTCTGTCGACCCAAATGAAGAGGTCGTTCTTCCAGTGTCATCTCGACTCTACCAGAGTTATGCTTCCTACTTATTTCTACTGTGAATCTCCCCACAGTGATGTACCTCTCTGTTCTCTCTCTGCCTTGTTCTGCCCACGCCTGCTCCCTGTACACACGTCAGCAATCTAAATCCCGCCCCTAGCACGTGAGACAGAGCTGAGTTTGGGCCTCTTGTGGTTTATACTCAGCCTCCAGGGTTTTATTTTTTTTTCTTAGTCCTCCTCTGTGAGGTCATTTTATCATCACTGCACCACTAGGAACCCTGAACACCCTCTATTGTATCCTTATGACTGAAGACAACACAGCTCCCAAAGTTGTCATTCAGATTAGTATTGAGTCAGAGACAAGGACCTGCAGCACACGTAACGTGGATGAGAAAGCATTTCTCTGAACAGCGATGGATGATGAGGCCAACACCCGTTTCAGCCTGAAGTTCTTTGGAAACAGTAGGCCAGTTCACATGAAGAATGGTGACGTCACCCGTGAGGCACAGCCCAAGTATCTTCCAGAGAGTGATGTGAAGTGCCACAAGTTTATCTGCAGTTCTCCCAAGTAGAAGTAAAAATAGAAAAGAGTATAAAAGAACAGAAATGGTCGTTTGATGATGCTTTGTGAAAAGCGTTCACATTTGATGATTGAATAATGTTATTCATTTAAATGTTTTTTGGTTGACGATTCCTTTGCAACCCCAGACTAAAGCCACACTTTTATCGTTTTCAGCTTCGCAAGTCTGTTTTCAGCATCAGGGCAAGGAATCTTCTGGAAAAGGAGACAGCAGTCACTAAAATCTTAAGGTAACACCAACAAACATTGTGTGTTTAGACACACAAATGGGACTATATTAAGCAAAGAAGGAAGTGTTTTAAGTGAACTAAATTTCTGGGCATCACCATATGCTTTCTACTAGAAAGTAGACTTCAATATAGATGTGTTTATAAGAATGTCAAAATTATTCATGTTTTCTGAAAGTAATAACTTATTTATTTTATTTTCATGTACTTAAATTATAAACATCTACGAAAGCTGAAAATAACTTACTACAATTCTTAAAAGTTTTCTATACTTTCTAATAGCTAAAGAAAAAATTATAATCTAAAGGAAAATAGTAAAAAGAGCAAGCTTTTTTGAAGTCATTATGATTTATTCTTCTATTACAATAAATTTACTAACAATTTATTAAGAGTGAAAAACACACACATCCTGGAATACTTACGGAAAGATTGAAGTTTAATGCTACTTCCTATGATATGCCTTGAAATGAAGTATCAGTAAAGAGAATTAAGCTGCTGTTTGAGAGTATTTTATTAGACTGTGTTACGAGAGGATATAGAATGTTGTTTGGGGGCCCATATTACACTGACGTGTGAATGACACAAGCAGACCAGGGGCACTGGGGGTCGGACGCCTGCCAAGGCGAACAGACAAGGTCATCTCCAAAGGTGGAGTCAGTGGAGGGAGCTGGGTCCTCTCCTTCCCGATTCCTGGCTGGGAGTACTCATTAAAGCATCCTCCGCAGGATGTATATTACTATAGCTTGGAAAACTGGTAAAGCTAAGTATATGTAATTTTAGAAACTGCTTTTACTTTGTAATGCTCTCTGAACTTTGTGTGTGTGCAAAAGACAGTTCCTAACTAATTCAGACTGTCTACTAGGAATCTGCTGTCTGTGTTGGCTGGCAGTCATTCCCAGAGTTGGACATGGGTTGGGCTAGCTCTAACGCGCTGAGAATACAGATTTCTGGGGCTTGTGTATTATCACCCCTAAATATGGTAAGACAAACATAAAGCCTTGCTGACATAAGCAACCTGCACCCCTGCTGGGGCTGGCTCTGACTGGCTGGTCTCTCTAGCCTGATAGGGCTGGGAGTTTTGTCACAGGCCTCGCCTGGAAGACCTCCCGGCACTTTGTGATCATCATGGAAGCTGCAGCTGTACCACACAAGTTCACGGTGGCGTCCTACAGAGATGCTGATCCACCTCCTAGGAAGACAAATTCTCCCTCAACCCAGAAGCAGCTGCCCACTGAGGAGGACAGTGCTCTGTGCCTGTGCAGAGAATCTACTGCCAACCCAGGAACAGAAATGACTGCACCCAGAGCAGCTGCCCTCCGGGGACTGGGACTTTGCCCTCAGGGCACCCAGAGATTTCCCAGGCAGAAGCAGAATGGATACTTACAAGGAAGCCCCTCACTTCCCCACACGTTTCCCCCCCCCCTTTTTTTTTTAAGATTTATTTATTTAGGCCGGTGCCGTGGCTCACTAGGCTAATCCTCCACCTTGCAGCGCCGGCACACTGGGTTCTAGTCCCGGTCGGGGCACCGGATTCTGTCCCGGTTGCCCCTCTTCCAGGCCAGCTCTCTGCTGTGGCCAGGGAGTGCAGTGGAGGATGGCCCAAGTGCTTGGGCCCTGCACCCCATGGGAGACCAGGAGAAGCACCTGGCTCCTGGCTTCGGATCAGCGTGGTGCACCGGCTGCGGCGCACCAGCTTCGGCGGCCATTGGAGGATGAATCAACGGTGAAGGAAGACCTTTCTCTCTGTTTCTCTCTCACTGTCCAATCTGCCTGAAAAAAAAAAAAAAGATTTATTTATTTATGTGAAAGTCAGAGTTACACAGAGAAATGAGAGGCAGAGAGAGAGGTCTTCCTTCCACTGGTTCACTCCCCAATTGGCTGCAATGGCCGGAGCTGCGCTGATCTAAGCCAGGAGCCTCTTCTGGGTCTCCCACATGGGTGCAGGGGCCCAAGGACTTGGGCCGTCTTGTACTGCTTTCCCAGGCCATAGCAGAGAGCTGGATCAGAAGAGGAGTAGACAGGACTAGAACCAGCGCCATATGGGATGCCAGTGCTTCAGGCCAGGGTATTGAGCCAATGAGCCACAGCACCGGCCCCCACACGCTCCTTCTTAAAACCACTCTGTTACTTTTCCTCTTCCGTGAACGCTTTTCCTTCTCTGCTCCTCTCTGTTTTCAGAAGAACGGTGAAACTCGCCCACCCGGAAACGTGGGCACGCATCGACCTGGGCTGCAGAGGCTTCTGGGCCGCTGCAGAGACCATGCTCCTGGTGCTTCCTCCAGGGAGCAGGGTCTCTCAGGGCAACACCTTGTCATCCATCCAGCTGATAACTTTTTGGAAACTCTCCTTCCGAAAATTCACGCCCCTTAGTGTTTGGCCTTTGAAATACCAGGGTTGTCACAGGGCGCGTGTTCACATGTTCTTTTAATTGAAAAATCAAGTCAGGCTCTTTTTTTTATTTATTTATTTATTTATTTATTTATTTATTTATTTATTTATTTATTTTGACAGGCAGAGTGGACAGTGAGAGAGACAGAGAGAAAGGTCTTCCTTTTGCCGTTGGTTCACCCTCCAATGGCTGCCACGGCCGGTGCGCTGCAGCCGGCGCACTGCGCTGATCCGATGGCAGGAGCCAGGTGCTTCTCCTGATCTCCCATGTGGGTGCAGGGCCCAAGCACTTGGGCCATCCTCCACTGCACTCCCAGGCTACAGCAGAGAGCTGGACTGGAAGAGGGGCAACCGGGACAGAATCCGGCACCCCAACCGGGACTAGAACCCGGTGTGCCGGCTTGGGCCATCCTCCACTGCACTCCCAGGCCACAGCAGAGAGCTGGCCTGGAAGAGGGGCAACCGGGACAGAATCCGGCACCCCGACCGGGACTAGAACCCGGTATGCCGGCGCCGCAAGGCGGAGGATTAGCCTAGTGAGCCGCGGCGCCGGCCTCAGGCTGTTTCTAGCACATTCAGCTGAATGCTTGGACAGTGCAAACCGACCGGGTGCACCGTGTCATCCGGCTGCCTGAACTGATGGATGAGACGCTCCCGTGCTCCCCAAAGCTTCTGCTCAAACTCATACCCAGTCGTGCCAGTGCTGCAGTTCAGCGTGGTCAGGGGAAAAATCTGTTGCTTCTTGAATGCATAGAAGTAGTTTCAAAAAATAACTTATGCTGTGTAGGAGCAAAAAAGCATTGTCAGGTTTGTAAGACTATTCGGGAATACGGGCCCTCTCAACGTTGCCCCACCAGTGGGCATCTTGAATAGTGTTTTGCTAAAGCCCAGCCCTCCACAAAACAAGCTGGAGCACCTCGGGAGCATGTGAGTGATGGAGCCCTGTGAACATCGGGAAGTGGCACAGGTACAATTTGAAAACCTGTATATTTCCTAAAACATAAACTTGATATTTAGAAAAGCCATTTTTCTTTGGTAAAAATAGTTTCTACATTGCTGCTGCTCTATATGCTGTGTGAATTAAGGACACAGGCAAAGATATCAAACTGATACTTTCTTTGGGTGCATTTATGTTTTCTTCACTCATAATAGTAGTAGTAAAAAATAAAAATAGGCCGGTGCCACGGCTCAATAGGCTAATCCTCCACCTTGCAGCGCCGGCACACCGGGTTCTAGTCCCAGTCGGGGCGCCGGATTCTGTCCCGGTTGCCCCTCTTCCAGGCCAGCTCTCTGCTGTGGCCAGGAAAGGCAGTGGAGGATGGCCCAAGTGCTTGGGCCCTGCACCCCATGGGAGACCAGGAGAAGCACCTGGCTCCTGCCATCGGATCAGCGCGGTGCTCCGGCCACAGCGCGCCAGCCGTGGCGGCCATTGGAGGGTGAACCAACGGCGAAAGGAAGACCTTTCTCTCTGTCTCTCTCTCACTATCCACTCTGCCTGTCAAAAAATAAAAATAATATGGGGCCCAGCATTGTGGGGAAGCAGGTTAAGCCACGGGTTGCGTTGTTGGCATTCCATATCAGAGTGCTGGTTTGAGTCCCAGCTATGCTGCTTCCAGTCCAGCTTCCTGCTAATGTGCCTGGGAAGGCAGCAGAGAATAGACCCCATCACGGTGTTGGAGTTCCTGGCTCCTGACTTTGGTGTAGCACAGACCTGCTAGCTGTTGCAACTATTTGGAGAATAAATTGAATGATGGGTGATTTTTCTCTGTCTCTGTCTCTCTCTCTCTGTCTCTCTCCTTCTCCCCTTCCCTCCCTCCCTCCTTCCCAAATAAATATCTACACCTTTAAAAAATAAATAACACAGTCTTGCCCATGTTGTAATGCAATCCTTTAGTTCAAAAGTGAAGAACAGATTGGGTTTGTGTCTCTGGGTTCATGGACATCGTGCTATGCTGTTTTGCAAAGAACAACAGCAGAAGAAGAAGTTGAGGGAAAGAAACTCAAGCCAAAGATGAGGAAAATATTCATGGAAGCCTCAAGGCCATTGACGCAAACAGCCCCCTCTGCATAATGGGGAAGTAGAAACAGTTGCCCCCTCTCTCCTGGCATCTTCTCAGGCCCTCTGAGCAGTGCTGTGCCTCCACTGCGACCTTTCTCTCTGTTAACTAAACCCAGCCAGGGGCCTCAGCTGATGTAGAAGGGGCCCCTCCCTCTGCCCTTTGGAAGGCTTCCGAAGAAGGAAAGACGTAAAGACAAGGCATGCAGACTTGGCCTTGTGTAGATGAGCCAGCCTTGTCCCTTGAAGGGACAAGTCAGGGTGGCTGTTCCTAAGTGTCACACCTGATGGAGGTTGGACAGACTTCTTGATGTAAGACTTTGGGACTGAGCAGCATGCAAAACGGGGAGCAGGTGCTGTCCTGGGGAGGTCCGCGCGTGGCTGTGACGAGACCAGACGGCACACCTGGCCCCTCTGCACCTTCCCTGCCCTCCCCCGTGCTCGGCCTGACGGTTCGGTGTTCACTCACCCAGAGGGAGCCCGCCTTCTGTTGCCCACATTCCTTCTTGATTTGGGTGATTTCTGAGAAGAGGGAACAACCAGTGGTGACTTTGTGCTG